CTCATAATATCTCATCCAAGTACCTTTAACATTTAACCTTTGATGAAATAAATTATAAGTTGCAGATACATGGCTGATTTCTTTATCACTAATCTCAAACTTGTAATTTAATCTAACAATTTCTCAATCTCTTATATTAGTCATTCGATCCGTAATCAGTTACAGAATTTCTACTACATCATATTAAGTGTATAAATTATTCAACTCCACCAAAGTAACCAACATTATCTTGTTCATGCATTTATCAATATAAACATGTTCCATAAAGCATAAAGAGGTAGTAAAGTATTACCTCGATTTCCGTGCAATACTGATCGACCATAAAAATTCCATTCAAACACCTTTGATCTTCAATTCAACTTCCAATATTTCCTCGGATCCATATAAACAGAAATTACATCAAAAACGGAGCTTAATTCTGAAAAACGAATCGAATCGGATGATAAATCAGTCAAAAACAGCTTACCGGGATCGAATTTGGCAAAACCGACTTCGGATTCGGATTCAGGATGTCGAAAGCATAAAATATGGTTTTTCGAAAATTTGGAATCTTCGGTCAAAATCAAAGTCAACGGGTTTGACCGACGATTTCAAAACCTTCGGGTTCGAATTTCGAGAAACGAACTGCGGAATCGGATTTGGAACGTCGAAAAATGTCAGGATAGGTATACTCGGTCAAAGTCAAAGGTCGTTTAATGCCCGGTCAAAGCCAGTCAAAGTTTTGGTCAACAGTGGTCAACGCAGGTCAACGGTCAACTGGTCAACGGTCAACGGGTCGGGTCGGGTCGGGTTGTGACCGGTCAAATGGGTTACAAAATCGGTCAAACCGGTCATTTTTCCTTCCCCACGCGCAGTGACGGCACGTGAACAGTGCACTGATATCGGAAAATTCCCGGACAAATTCCTAAAAATTATTTTAATCGATTTCGAGATACTTACAAAGCTCGGTTCAATTTTTTGAACGGCGGAGAGCTCGATTTCAACAAATCGGAAACTTTGACCGCTTCACCTCCACACGCGCCGCTGCCTCCGGAGAAAAGGGAGGACACCGGTGGACTCGGAACGACTCAAGGAACACGATGGTGCGGGAGGTGTCGTAAACGGATGACCCGATCGTCGTGAATCGATGAAAAACCAACTAAAACCGAGTTATTACCGACGATACTTCCGACTGAAATTCACGACGAGCGGTGATGATTCACGATGAAAGGTTTGAGGGGTTTCGTTCCTCGGTTGACAACGAACACGATGGTGGTTTCGGCTTGTCGATCGGAGGTCGGACGGCGAGTAGATCGAAGTTGGAAGGAGGGTTGACGGGAGAGGGAAAACTGGAAAAATTTCCAGAAACATACGGGAGATTGGGGGTATATATCATCTCATAATTAAAAATGGCTAAACCAAGAGTTTAGCCACTGAACTTCCTGCACTTCATAAAATGGTCTGCCAACTTTAAAATTTGCAATTTAACCCACTATTTCTTTCAAAATACCAAATTAAATCCACCACTTTATAATTTCTTAAATTTAGCCCCTAAATTGGGGTGTTACATAAATATTAATTATGTACCAAAACAAATACATAAATATTAATTTATAATTTTATATAATATATATAATTTTGATTTTTGTTTAATTGTATATATAAACTTTTAATTTAATTATACACATTTAAAAAGTAAATGCATTCACTTATAATAAAGTCATCTTTGTACATTTTGATATGAGTCAAATGGTTCATCTATTAAAATGTTCATATGCTTATTTAGTTAAATGTTGATGTAAAATTTTCATATATTTTTAGATAAATTATATAAAATTTAATATTAATTAAAATTAAAATAATACATGATATATTTACTCTTTTATTCTACCAATTTATATATAATTTTATAAAAAAATTATATATAAATTTTATTAAAAGTATATATATTAAAAATAATAAAGTAATATATTCTCGATAAATTTTTATATAAATATTTTCATTTAAATATTTAGAATTCCACTTGTTAAAAAATATAGAATAAGGACAATTTCGTAAAATATACATTCAAGTAATCTTTCATTCCTTCAATCAAACACTGTAATCTTATATTCCTGCCAAACAAATCAAACACACTAATGTAACATTCCCATTAATGTGTTAGGCAATGTTACATTCCGATAATCCTATTCCCGGAGGTAATCTTACATTCTGTGAACCAAACGCACCTTTCAAGACTTCAAGGATAAAGTTCTTTTTATTTTAAAGGTGAACCGGAAGATTGTGATAAATTTTGAGAAAAAATATTATTTATTTATTAAATAATTAGTTTTCATTTTAAACAATTAATTTAGGGGAAAAAGATGCAATGATCTTAGAATTAAAAACCACATGAATAATTTTCTTTTAAAAAATGAAATGATTTTTAAAAGTTTTTTAAACATCAGAATAATGAGACATTCATCATAATTATACGCTTATTATGAAATATATTTCAATCATATCCATTGAAAGATCTAAAAGAAGAAAAATTAAAAAAATCATATTGGCCCTCAAAATTTTATAAATGCTCATATTATTTTATCATTTATTTATCATTTCGTAAGATGTCTAATTTAATAGAGATAGAATTTGTACAAAAGTTATTCGATTTTTTTATGTTCATCATCATTTTTAGGATAAGATTTCTTTTTTCTTTATATCTTTAAATTTTTTATTTTTTATTTTTATATAAATTCTCTGATGACTATGATTTCCCATTATTTCTCTACGCTCGACTGCATTATAATTCTGATTCTTTTCTCTATTTCTGGCTATCGTTAAAAAGAATAATTACATCCAATTAAAATGATTAAAAGAAGACCTAAGAAAATGCTCCACCTCTTTTCAAATCATCATTTTGTAATGGGGTATATTAGTGAATTGATATAGGACTTCCTTGTATTATTTATTGAGTTAAAAAATAAATTACGTATTTAATCATTTAATTATTATTTTAATTTCATTTTATTATCAAAATAATTTTTTAAATTATATTTAATGTTATATTTTAATTTCATTTTAATAACTTACAATAAAAAAATAAAATTATTGTTATGATAGTTTTTTTATTTTTCAATAATGTCATCAAATTATTGCTATGATATTTTTTATTTTTCAATGATATCATGATATTTTTTTAAGATGACGAACAAATATCACTGTTAATATTTTAATGATAAACGATTAAAAAAATTAAAACGTAATGTTAAGTATAATTAAAAAAAAAAAGACTTAAATGCCCAATTGCCCTTGAACTATATCATTTTTTATGAGTTACTCTCTAAAATATCTTTCAAGATATTTTACCTCTTAAATATAAATAGTTATTCCGTTTATTCCAGACAGTTAACTCTATTAATAAAAAAAAGTCAATGACTAATCAAAACAAGCCACATCACCTTTTAATTTTCTTTATTTGAAAAAAAATAAAATTCAATTAAAAAACTAAAATATGTAATATGCCAAAACTACCCTCTTTCCATTTCCCCTTTCCCTTTCCCTTCCCCTTCCCCTTCCCCTTCCCCTTTCCCTTTCCCCTCCCCCTCCCCCTCCCCCATCCTCCATCGTCATCACCTAACCAACAAAAAATCTGTAAGTTTCAGACAATTTCATTACTTCCCGTTGTATACAATGCAAAGCTTAAAGTCTTAATCCCCAAATGAAACCTTCTATAATTTAGTCCTCCATGTCCAATAATTCAGTAAACTAATGCCTCAAGTGTGGAAGAACCAAATTGGAAACTAAAACCCCATAATGCCTACAACTTCAAAGCTTTTAAATTTAGTTGAATGACTAAAAATTTAATCAACTACATTAAAAATTCTTTAAACCCAAATATTAGAATCATCACAATTTCTAAACCTTCAAGATGTGAAAAGAAAGAAAGAAACATTCGTAAAATAAACCAAAATGGGAAAAACCTAGAACTACAAAATCCTCAAGCAATATCTCATTACATCCAGAACTTCGAAAAGACCAAAATTAATACTAGAATAAACAATGATATTCGACTCAGTTTGAGCTTGAGAGTGACTAAACACAGTTGTTATATTGAAAAAGCCCTGACATTTGACATCCATGAAGAAAGAATTTGGGGACTGAACGAGACGCTTGAACTTGTGTTTCTTCTCCTCAAGCTCCGTTGGAGGATGAAGAACCATTTGGACTTAGCTGCTAGATGTTTCAAGAGCAATCTCAAAAACTCTCGAAAGCATAGTAGGCGGCAAAGGAGAGTGAAGAAGGAAAAAAAGGGATGCTAGGGAAAGGGAGAGCTTGACGGTGGAGGGGAAAAGAATGTTACTTTAGGGATATTGCTCCTTTTATTTTTTAATTAATTTTTATAAAATAAATTAAAAATAAATGATGACATGACATGTTCTGATTGATCAATAAATTTTATTTTTAACAGTGTTAACAGTTTAAGGCAAATTAAATAATAATTTATAGTTGATAGGGAAAAATATTTCGAAAAATATTTTAATGGACAATTCAATATAAATAATATAGTTTCTAATGGATTAAGAGGAGGGTAGGTGAACGGAACCGACCGAGAACCCGAAACCGTTTGAGCATTTAAACTTTTAAAATATAATAATTTGATGATCAAATCCAAACTAAAATGATAATTAAATAACTAAATATTAAATTTACCCTAAAAATGGTTACCCTCTCTATCAAACCCCACAGCCTTCAGACAAACCACCAAGAAGCACCCCAACAAAAAGAAAGAGACGTACGGTGTTCCGAATCCAAACCTAACTGAACTGTCCCGGGGGGGGGGGGGGGGGGAACAACGCTATGTTTTAACTTCAACGCTTACCAACAAGGAACAGCAATAAACTAATCAAACACTAACCCTTTTCTCTCTAATTTTTTTCCCATTCCTGATCGTCAAAATTTTCTTTCAAGCCACTCTTCTGTAGTTGATATATACTTCAACTCAATCCCCCAATAGAACCTAGAAAAAAAACCTTTGAAAAGAGAGTTTTGTTTTGAAGGAGAATGGCAACTGGGGATCTAGAAAGAGGTAACGGGAAGAACAGGGGAAATAGCTATAACCGATCATCTTCTTCCTACTCCCTGGAGAATGACGAAAAACAATGGACTTCATGGCTTGTACCGATGTTTTTGGTGGCTAATGTCGATGTGTTTGTTGTGGTGATGTATATTAATAATTGTCCTAATAACAATCCGAGATTGGAAGGCAGATGTGTCGCTAGGTTCCTCGGCAGGCTTTCTTTTCAGCCTACAAGGGAAAATCCTCTCTTCGGTCCTTCTTCTAATACGTATGTCTCATGTACCCCTTCTCTAAATTTCACTTCTTTCTGTTTAAACCGCGTCTTTGCTGTCTCTGGTTTTCTGGGATTTCATGTTTCTGTGTAACTATTTTTGGACTAATGGAATCTTTTAGAAGTTGGTTGTGTTGGGAAGTTTTTCTTTGATGATTCAACTCGGTCCAATTGATCTTCCATAGGGTTTTCTGATTTGTTTTGATTCTATGAGATGATTATACATACTGGAAATTTTTGTATGATTTGATTGATACTATTTAAGGTTATGAGGTTTGTTCTTTCTTGTTCATTAGCAGCAATAGGAATTCTCAATATGGGGTTCATTATTAGTTTGTTTATTGAATCTCATGGTTTTGCTTTGTCTTGCTGAAGTGCAGTGGGATCTGCTTCTTGCTTATAGCAAAAGGGTGTGTATGTAGCATATTATTTCATTCTCAAGAGGTCAATTACTGTTTATCTTGTTTTGTAACTATTAAACAATCTAAAGAATGTTCTGAATTTTGTAAAAATTACAAAAAAAACGTGTTTGGGGATGATGTCCTGAATAATGAAGCTACTTTATTTATGATTTCATGGAATAATGAAGTTGAAGTAGCAAAAGACTTGTGATTTCTATTGGAGGCATGGGGCTTCACTTTTGTTTTATACTTTTAGTATGGTCTAATGCAAGTTCGAATCTTTCTAATATTAACTAACTTCAAGTTCAATTTCGCCCTATCTTCATTCGAAATTTACATGACTTTTCAGCTGTTCACTGGACTGTGAATTGTGAAGTTGAACATGTTACGTCAATGTGGTTTAGCTAGGCTTTTTTATTATTATGTCATCTCGATAATTGCGACTCGTGTAATTTTGTAATGTTTCTACTTCTCTTTCTTCGTCAGATTGGAAAAATTGGGAGCACTGGAGTGGTACAAGGTAGTGCATGGAAACCAAGGATGGAGGCTTATCACTTGCGTCTGGCTGCATGCAGGAGTTATTCATCTGCTTGCAAACATGTTGAGCTTGATCTTTATTGGAATACGCCTTGAACAACAATTTGGATTCAGTGCGTTATTTGTTCTTTTTTAAATGTTTGATTAATTTTTCTGAATTATCTACTAGAGAAATTCACATTACATAATAATATTTTTGGAATATGCAACATTTAGAAGTGTTTAGTCGGTCTTTGATCAATGAGCAAAATGAAATATCCTATAAACACGTATTTTTGTGTGATCCATTGATTGAATTACTTGGTGTTGGTGTATCATTTTATTCACTCCAACTGTATTCTGGTCAATGGCCAGCTGGATTTTATGAAGTTCAATTTCAGATTATTCTTTTGATATCCACCTAGAGACTGATTTGGTCCATCATGATGTTATAATGGATATCTTTTCTTTCTCCTGGCAGTATGCGTTGGACTTATCTATCTGTTGTTTGGTCTTGGTGGGAGCATACTATCGGCTCTTTTCATTCAGCGTAATATTTCTGTCGGTGCATCTGGTGCTTTATTTGGCCTACTTGGGGCGATGTTATCTGAGCTGCTGACTAACTGGACTATCTATACAAATAAGGTACTTGCCTTTGGTTTCTAGGTCCTTTGAAAAAGGCTATCTTTTACATGCTACACGGAATTGGAAATAGTAATTGCCTTAATGTTTGGAGCTTAAGATAAGTATATATTGGTAGCCATGATGTAATAAACTAATAATCATTTACATTCTATTGTAGAACCATTTTAAAAGTAGTGGACATACATTTTTTTCTTCTTTCGTATCATAGGCTGCAGCGCTTATCACACTCGTGGTCATCATTGCCATTAACTTAGCAATAGGGATTCTTCCTCATGTCGACAACTTTGCACATATTGGAGGTTTCTTGTCTGGTTTTCTCCTCGGGTTTGTTTTGCTGCTTCGTCCCCAGTTCGGGTGGGTGGGACTTAAGAATCTTCCTGCCGGTGCTCCCGTAAAATCCAAGCACATGGCATCAGGGTTCCAAATCGCGGTCGTGTTTTCGGTTATTTCGGATTTACCTTGATTGCGGCCGTCGCAGACGCTATTGCGGCCGTCGCGGGTAACTCGGACGGCGACGAAACCGCTATATCGCGGTCGAAATCGCGGTCGCGGACCGTTTTTTAAAACCCTGCAAGGCATACCAATATGTGTTCTGGGTGATTGGTGTGGTTTTACTCATTGTCGGGTAAGCTCTCCAAACCCTACGTTACTAAACTCCATGCAAACTAAATATTTTGTCGATGGTTCCACGTGTTTATAATTCCGGTCCTGTCGATGATTTTGTTTAATTTCGTTTTGTTTTCCGTTCGGATTATTGGCAGTTTCAGTGTGGGGTTAGTAATGCTGTTTAGAGGGGAGAATGGAAACGACCACTGCAGCTGGTGCCATTACCTGAGCTGTGTTCCGACATCCAAATGGCAATGTGGAAACTGATGATATACCATTCATTACCACTAGCTATTTACTGATTCTTCCCCGCTTTCCTTTGTTTACAATTTTACTCATTTAATTTCTTCGACTTGTTATATGCTTATATATATATATATACACGTACGTACGTACACATACATGCTTAGTTTTTGACGCTATTTCTTTCGCTGTTATTTTATATGGTCGAGATTTTATACAGGATGATCTATATATATATATATATATATTGATTGATTGTATGCAAGTTTTTTTTCCTTTTCTCATGGTAGCAGCTAAAACTTATTTTTAATACTGCACGACATCATCACTTGTTCTCTCTCCCCCCCTCTCTCTATATTAAGGGGAATATAACTTGATTTGAAAAACTGATTCGATTTGATTCAAATTTTTATACATTTAGCTCGGAAAAAATTAAATAAAGTTTGAATGTTAAAATATGATTTATCAACTTGATTAACTCAAAATATTTTAATTTGATTCAAATCAAATGGCTACTCTTAGTTCCTATTATCTCACTTTTTTATCATTTTAAGTCAATTTTAATTGAATTTGAATCACATGTTTATCTATATATATATTCCTATTTTCAATAATAATTTTTTTATTTTTGTAATTTAATTTCTAGAGTTTTTATTATTAATTTTTATTACATTTTTTCTATCAATTTCTTTCACTCCTTTTATATTATCATTAATATTTTTCTTTTAAATATCTTCTTTAAAAAATAAATTTATAAATATATTTTGTAATTTCAAATAACATTTGATTTATTAAATAACATATATATATATATATATATATATATATATATATGATTAGAGGAAACCGTTAAATTGAATTAATCTATATGACAACATTATAAATATATATAATGAAACTTATAAACTTAATCTGAATTTCATAAACTCGATTCAACTTAAAAAATTTCAAATAAAGTTTAAGGTGTAAAATTATTGTTATATCAAATCACAACATTAACTTAATTTGAATTTCATAAACTCGATTCAACTTAAAAAGTTTCAAATAAAGTTTAAGGAGTAAAATTATTGTTATATCAAATCACATCATTACCTCGGTTAAATTGTTCAGTGAACAAAGTAAAGAGTAGTAACAATTGGATGGTTAATGATGTAATTTAACCTAAATTAAGTGTCCGTTTGTTTCACTGAAAATATTTTCGGAAAATGTTTTCCGTCAAATGAATTATATTTTTTGGAAAATATTTTATCGAAAACTTTTTACAGTGTTTGGAAGAGGTTGTGTAAACCATTTTCACTAGTTGATGAATTTTTTAAAAATTATTTATTACAAATATTAAATAAAATAAATAATATTATTATCATAAAGCTTAACATTATTATTTTTATAATATTAGAATAATTTATTTATTATTATTGAAATATTATTTCTATAATTTTATTAATAAAAATATTAATATTAGTACATTTATATTGAAATAAAATATTATAAATTGTGTTAATTATTTATTGAAGAAATATTATTAAATTATATTTTTTAAAATAATTAATATATTTTAAATATCTTTCTTAACATATTATTAGATTATTATATTAATATTAAATACATAAATTAATATTATTCATTACTAATAATTTAATAATATTATTTCTATGAGATTAGTAAATAATATAAACTTTATTAATAATTTATTATATATTATTAAAATAAAAATATAGTATCTTATATTATTATAATATAATTGAGTATTTTTATTATGATATTAAAAAAATATAATATTATATTATTATAAATGTTAATAAATATATTTTAAATATTTTAATTATAAATATTTTGATTTACATGATATTAAAATATTTTATTAATATTAAATTCATAAAATAAAATTATTTTAAGTATTTATTCTTTGAAGTGAAAAGTTAATTTGGAAAATGACACACGAAAAATCAAACCGTAAGTCATTTTTCAGAAAACACAGGAAATTCTGTTGACCAGGAAAATGTTTTACGTTGATCAACCAATTTTCCTCCAACCAAACACTGGAAAATGAGGAAAAATGTTTTACATGAAACAAATAGACCCTAAATGATACTCACACGATCTCATTATTTTTGTCTCATTCTGAATAAGTATAAAGTTTTAGAAGATAAGTTTGATCACATGATGTTAAGTCATATAAAATGAGGGAAATGATAAAATTATGTAAAAAATGATTGATAAATTTGTTTTGATATGTGTTAAAGAATGTAACAAATAAAGGTACAAATAATATATATATATATATATATATATATATATATATATATATATATATATATATATATATATATATATATATATATATATATATATTGTTGAGCTCTTACAAACAACCGAATAAAGCCAAGAGGGGGTGAATTGGCCTTTGAAAGATCTGTGGAGGAAGCAATAGAAATTAAAAACTTTGCACAACAATTTAGAGTAATTCGACTTCTAAATCAAGTCTACATCCACTACCTTAGTTATCCACACTAAGGATTTCTCAAATACACTAGATTTACAAACCTTTAAGGATAAGGTGTAACCTTATAAAGACACACAAGGTTTATACCCTAACCCCTTGCTTACACTCTCTCCCAAAGAGAAATTACAAATTTAACAAAAGAGAAACCACACAAAGGCAAATGTGTTTGCACAAATTAAGCACTCACCAAGAATCACACTTGAGCAAGATTAACAATGTAGCTCACAAGTGTGTTACAAAAGGTTTGACAATTTTAGCTCTAAAACACTGTTGATGTTGGTTTGATATTGCAATTGACTTTCTTATTGTTTTCCATTTGAATCTTGGTCCCTTTTATGTCTTCTCACATCAATCTAGCCATTTGGAGTCGTTGAGGATTGAATAGAGCAGTTGGATTCATTAATTTTGAGCATTTAATGCTCACCTGCACATTTGGTATCGATATTGAGCCTTCCAATGATCAAATTTATAGTGGTTAAGCCTTTAGTATCGAGACTTCTTGAATCAATATCGATACCCACCCTTCAGTCTCGAGAATGGGGCCTTATTATTGAGATCAAAAACCATTCTGACATTTTGGTATCGAGACAACTGTATTGGTCTCGAGACTAGTAGTTGATTTGGCAAAAATTAAGTGTTATGAGCTTTAAAAATAATGTTTATAAAATGCGGATTAACTCAAAAACACTTTTGATTATTTTTCACACTTAAAAATGCTTTTAAAGTGTTTATGACAAATTATTTATAAAATATTGTGAAATTGCAAATTTTAACTATTTAAATTATTATAATAATCATGTTAAATCAAAATCAAAACTTAGTTAAAAAATCTCCATATAACAAAACCTTTTGTGAAATTTTGATTTAAAAAGGATTTGTCATAATTTGTGAAAAATAAGTCTCCCCCTTAGAAAAACAATTTTTGGCTAAAATGATTTTTTGCTAGCAAATTTACACTTATACATTTTTCTCACCATTTTTGTTATAGTAAAATCAAATTAAGCTTCAAAATATAAAATATGTTAGTGCAATAGGGAACTCAAATATTCAACATAAAATATTAAAAAGTAAAATTATGCTTATCATAAAATAATCAAGTTCAAAAGCATAATATCAACATCAATAATTCAAACATAAATCTATAAAGTACCAAATTAACCAAGTATCAAACATATAATAACATAAAGTTCGAAAATAAATCATAAAGTGCATAAGTCCAAATCTAAAAGCAAAATGTCTTAAATTTCCAAATAAATGCATATTCTTTTGGAGGCGGTGGCGAAGGAGGCAACAAGTGATAATGTATCGAGTGAACGCCACTCTCAAGCGCATCCAAGCGAGTATCTATGCTTCCGAGTCTTTGTATCACGTGATCGTACAAAGTCTTCATCGATATCTCCTCTTGAAGTAGGGCACCGATTGCTCTTCCATTTTGTCCAAGTTTCTTCGATAAGGACCCCAATCATGGGAAAAGTCATCAAAATTCTAATTGGCCTTGTGGGTCGATTTAAGATTGATGAAACTAACGAGTAGAATAGGAGGATCAAGGGGGTAGACACTCTAAGTTTATCTCTATATATGTAGCTAAGAATGCAAGCATAGGGAAGTGTCTTGGTGTAATTGTACCCATTATGGACAACATCAACAAGTTCTAAGAATATGATGTTTGCAAAGTTTGGGTGGATGTTGTTCTCAGTGTTATAAAACCACCAATAGTCGTAAGTGCTCAAATGGGTAGCCTTAACACTAGAAGGACAAAAGAACCAAGTAATGAGGAGTAGCAAGAGACGATCCGGGAAATCAAGATGAGTAGGGCTATCATATGGGAATCTCTCAAAATGAGCAGGGAAAACTTCTTTGAAAGGATCATCATCCTTATCAATGATATTTAAGTGGGCAACGATGAAGGATGGACTAAAAGTAAAGGTTTAACCCACGAGGTACAACTCAAATCCAAAAATTTTATCTTCATTACCTTGGGCATGTATAAGAATTGTATTAGCAAAGAAAGTACAAACAAAGTTCGGATGAACCTTAGGAGGAATAAAAAATACGTTCAACCATCCCCATAAAAAGAAGGTTTAAAAAATAAGAAATTGATACATTTTGGACATGAGAAAATTAGGGTTTATGGTACGCTCAGAACATTTTTTTTTGTAAAAACTATTGAACAAGTAAAGAGCATCGGGATTCCTAAAGCAAGCATTTTCAAAGTTAAAGGGATTTGAAGATTAAACTTGTAGGATAATCCTACTAGTCCTAGGACGATTGGGATTTGTTCTAGGAGGTATTTTTTTTATCAAAACAAAGACTAAGGAAAAAAGAGTTTTCATTTGCAAATTTTTTCAAACACTTGAAGAGCAAACCTAAAACAATTGTTTTAGGTTAAACATAGTGAATGTGTAATACACTAAATATCAGGTCAGGGACTTTATTGAAAAGATTTAAAATTTAAGGATCTATTTGAATAAATGATGAAAGATGAGAAAATGATTTGGAATAGTGTTTAGATTAAATTGTAACAATAAATGAATTAAAGAGCATTTT